ATACAGACACAGACTTGAAAGTAATTTTATTGAATTATATATCAAAACAATTATATGGACCGCTTAAGCATTCATAACAATGATGTAAAAAATGTTAATATTTTAACAACTTTTTGAGTATCCTACATAATTTGATGGTCCAAACAAAATTATTTTCAGATTTGTATCAAATTAAAATCGTTAGAGAGATATTTCAATAAAATTGTTCTTATTGTGTTGAATAGATTTTCTAATAAAATTTTTATATTTTTAATCGGTATAATTACGCATCCAGTCTTGGATCAACTTTTATTTTAAAGAAGATAAAGCATAAGCGGCTTCGTAAATTCCTTCGTGAATGAAGTCCCGGTACGGATGTATATTTTTTCAAGATATCCTGTATGGTAGCATCAAGCGCATGTAATTGCGGCGCCGCCGTCGTTACTAGATCATTGGTGAGATTTCTCCCGGTATGCAAAGTCCCATAAAGGCAACGTAAAGAGAAGGTGGCTCGAAAAGGAGGCGAGAAAAGGAGCGTGTCTTCGTTAACGACGATCCGCATTGAAGGGATACCAAGTGGAGTTCTGTTCACCTATGTGTTTCTTTCGCAGCCACAACGATCAAGCTGCGATCTTCGGGATACGAGCGACGTGATAATGAAGACAATTCGTTAGCAAAAAAAAAGGTCAAAATAAAAAATTATCCGGCCATTAATCGTATAAAAGAAATGTCTCTTCTCAAAAAAGACTTACGAACATGACTTTAAATGGGATGATGTAAAAATATTAGGTAGAATCATCTTATAACAAAACTGATCTCGAAGTTGGTTTCTAAATATTAAGAAACAGGAGCGTGGATTGAACAGACAAAATGACGCAGAATCCCTTTCTGATTCCCTATTTTTGTTATCCCCTTCTTAATTATTCTCCTTTCTTGTTGATTAAGTTTTAATAATCTTAAATAAAATTTTACATTGACTAATACTTGAACAATTTTATATTAGGTGTTGGAATTAATTCGTAGCGTTTTACAAGTGATGGGAAGTACTTTCATTAATGTATTTTTTAATGCTCATGTGAAATAAATAATATTCTTTCATTAAAAAACGCTACGAATTAATTCCAACACCTAATAAAATTCTATATTAATATAATTAAGTACAATCGTAAATATTTCTTTTATTCATATATTTTATTATTAAAAGAAATTTTATTCCTCGAGTAAAATTTAATTTCACTTATAATCAACTAAGAGAATTCGAACTTAAGAGGAAATATTTTGTTTTCTTTTTTTCTTCGTGCGTTTCAAAGAAAACCATCGATCCGCGAATCCACGACATGATAAGTTCACAAAGTGCGTGTCAAGAAATTCGAATATTTATTCGCACGGTCATCACTGTCCTGTTAATTTATCTGCAGCGGACATATGAGAAATCGATTTAGTAAGGCTAATGAGCCGCCACTCTTTATTATACAAGTTACAAGCAAAAATGGCGCGTACTTGTATTTCCTAGCTTTCTCTCACCCGAATCATGCAATGTCGATGATTCACTTTGAAGCCATTGGTTGCATAAAATGCGACAAGATATATTAGCCCTCAAGAAATCGCACACAAGACTTGTTTGTATCACGCATCTTTTACTGAACAAGCTACATTTTTCCACATTCTTCGTTCGAACATAACTATATAAAAACTCATACATCGAAGAAATTACATCGTTTTATAGAAGCTGATCACGTTGACAATTATCACTGCATTTGCAGAATTGCAGTTTGCTAAATTAGATTATCGTTGAAAGATTAATATTCCTTTCATAAATTAAAAAAAAAATTAATCTCATAAACTTTGTAGTAAAAATTTTTCAATTCTTAAGTTCTTAAATATCTCCGGAGATCTAAATTGCTAATTCTTAATTTTAAGAATATATAACCATACACAAATTTTTCTAAGAACATGACATAAAATCAAGGAAATTCGTGTAATTTAATCATCTTTACATTTGCTCAACCAAACTATTACTTTTGCTCAACCACTATGATCGGCTACTTGATATGACATTCATTTATTAGCATACTTGTCGAACCGCTGAAATCCTCGAATGGCAATGCGTGAAACGTGACACGTGACACATCTAAGCGTAGACCGCAGTGTCAGTATCGGATGCCGCTGATTCGAGAGGTACCCGGTAGTGATTGTGTCGTTCGTCGCGCGTCTAGAAATCGTTCACGCGATATTTCGCCACGCCAGATCTGTTTACCTGTCCAAGTCGCTTGACCGACTTGGATGAATCGCTCGCCGGAGTTGACGTGCCAGCCGGCCGATTAACTTACTCCGTCATCGCGTGGCCGATCGAACGTTCGGTTCGTTGAACTGGTTTTTGCGAAAACGCGCACTGTACCGGTGAAAAAAAGAAACTCACGCACGCGCGGCAAAAATACCTCTTGAACAAAAACGTCGTGTAAAAAGTTTCCAGTAGTAAAATTCCGGTAGTTCGTGAATGGACGCGAAATATATTAGGTCATTTAAAAAGTCTCCGCGGTTTTTTGTTCAATTTTTGAATGAAAAAACCGCGGATACTTTTTAAATGACCCAATACATGCGAGAGAAGTCATAAGAATTAGTAATATCGAACTATATAGCTTAGAAGATTTAGATATTCAGTTCTCGTTCTGAATGTTCAAAGATCTTGTGTAATTTAATTACATAAGCCTGTTCTATGCGCACTTAAGGAGGTTATAAGGGCATAAAACATATATTAATATTTACACTTTAAACAAACTACATACATGTGAAAGTTGTTCATAACATTTTGTTTTTATTGATATAGATTATTTATTTTATTTGATATTAGTTTTATTATATTGTTATAAACAAAAATTTTAAAAATAATAAAAATCTAAATTTTTTTATATAATAAATATTTTAAGTATTAAAAATGACTTATGCAAAATTTCATTGAGATTCACCAATTAGTTTATAACAAATAAATATTTTATTTATTGAATAATTAATGTCTGCATCTCAATGTAACTCTATACATAAATATTTTTGAATAAAGTACTTATATAAAAAAATTAACATTTTTATCATTATTTTATAATACATTTTCATATATTTCTATTAGAGTACAAATTTTAAAAATATTACTTTTTATTGAAACAACTTTTGATCAACTATTTCTAATTTTGTTGTACTACTTTTAAATGCAATTTAGAATAATCTGTAATTTTTTTCAAATAATTCCTAACATATTACATTTGCTTTACAACCTCCTTAAAGAAACTTTGGAACACGAAGGATCAAAATACCTCATTTTTCTCTTGATAAGACACAGAAGCAATTCGTGGTAAGCAACGTGAGCGTGATGAACGAGTGTAGAAAAAACAACAAAATCATGCTGGAACAACCCGATAAAGAACTGCCTGAAAAAATACGAATCGCGTGGCACACGCGAAATCTCATCCCATCTAGGAAACAGCCGGCGAAGATTCTGTTACTCGCAAGTGAAAAGTGAACTACAGAATTAACGGAGGCCGAGCACACATACTTATCACGCGCACGTGTGCGATCAGCTGGGATAAAATGCGATGCTAAAAGAAAAGGAGGAACGATCGAATAATCGACGATTCGCCGAAGGCGATACATGAAGCCGTGTCGCACGATCTCCGATCGCGCGACGCGAAATGATATTGTAATTCTTGCGTCGAGCGAGCCACTTAAGCGGCCCTCATACGATTCGTATCGGGCAATCGAATGAGCTCTGCAGTCCGATAAATCTCAATTCTGCAAGAATTGAAAAGAACGATTTTGCTAAAACGTCTAAAGCAAGATACAGATCTGAAAATAATTTTGGGTCATCAACGTAATTACGTAGGACGCTCAAGATTGTTGCTTGTCAAAACTTTTTATAGTATTGCTCTCATCAGGCTTGAGTTCCCTATAATTATTTTAATGGTCTAATAAAATTATTATCAAATCTGTATCCAATTAAATCTTTAGATATTTAGCAAAACCATTTTTTTTCCGCATGAGAATGGGATTTAGTATCGTATACTGAAGAAAAGTATATTAAATTTTAATAAATATTTAATAAATGTAAAAAAAAACATATATTTATTTTTGGCACAATGATACAAAAACCATTTTTAACTTAATCATCATTTAAGTATATATTTACTGTAAGTAAATGTTTGGTTAGTACTATTATTATAAAAGAAATATTTATTAAGATTTAGTAAATTTTTTTCTCAGCGTAGACATGATATATACTAAATAAAGCGTGCGAAATGATCGATCTCGATTTTCATAACAAATTCAAACCAAAGGTATAATTTCTCCTTAGGAGAAAACATTTCATACGAGGGAATATTGTTCCTGTTCCTTTAATGTCCGACCTCTCTTTCATTAAATATTAAACTTTTAAAAGCTATGTACTTTCAATCTACTTAATTAAAAAATGATTGTCAGAAATATTGACTGTGTGAGAACACCTTAAGACGACAATCGACAAAGTGTGTCAGACTTGCGAAGCCATAAGTAAAAATGGGCCACGTATAAGCACAACATTACTTACAAACACCTCAGATATCGTTTTTCTTTTACTTTTATTTAGTACGAAAAATATATTCAACTGCGTTCAAGTGTCATGCAGACTATTAACAATTATTCAACAGCAGATTGAAATGTAACTACGGTAATATAATATCGAATTCTGCAAGTCCAGGAGATACTAATAAATTATACCTCAGAAAGAACGATTATTAATTATAATTATATATAATACACACGATAAACGAGCTTCGAGACGCACCGAAAGGGCTTCTCTCACGCTGATGAAGTGGCGAAAAATTACGTCCCGCCACTGATTTATTAATAAATACCGTTTTTATGATGCGTATGTGTGCGGTTTATTTGGTCGTATATCAGTCAAGAGATCGTCATCAGATGTTACCGGAGATACACGCCCGTCCGTTACGCGGAACCGTTAATCATATTTCTAACAATGTGTGATTTACGCTTACCGTGCATGATCCAAATCTCTCTTGTTGCCGAGTAGGAGGGCGGTGAAATAGGATGGCAGGCGTAGATCTGCGAGTTGTTTGAGAAGTCCACGAGCTTCCTGAAAGCTCCGTTTACATGTCACGCTGTAGACCACGACGAAGGCCTCGCCCCACCGTATATGTGAGTACAGACAGCCATTCTCCTGAAACAATCGATGGAAAACGACTGATTGCTATGACATTGCTATGACAGAACCGAGAATCAGATTTAATTTCAAGTATCTCTACTCGTAGTTCGAATGTAAGACACTCTATTTCTTTAGATGCTCGGCAAATAGAAATTCGTTCCTCTAAGGAAAAAGTCGAGAAATTTAAATAAATTCTTGGGATTTTTTGATCGAAACTTTTACATCTCGGAATACACGCGTGATTAACTAGCCTTTTGTATTTATTGTACAATAAGATTGGAAACAAGACCGCTTATGTTAAGTACATTACTTTAAATACGCTGAATGTTTAAACTAACCTTAGTTTTTTAAATTTAGAAAGTTTGGGGGGGGTTATTAATATTTCAGATTGATTGCGTTGAAAGTCCGACAACCAGATCGGCACGCAATTATCATTTCTGAAATTAATTCATTTATATGAGTATATATAATAGTTCAACGTCTTAACATTCAGACCGTAATGGCGCTTCGTATTTAAACTTTTGTATTTATTTGCGCACGCGCATAAAATTGTCTTTAATGACTGTAAAAAAATATGTGCCGGACGAACGCGTTCAAAATTTGCTGCGCGTTGATTCCACAACCTGCGTTCATAAATTTCAGCCATCACCTAAACTGCGGTACATCCGGCGGGAATGAATTTTATAGAGTGAGATAAATATATACCTGGTCCGTGTGGGTATACACGGGCGTTATTTATGATCAAATCTGTCGAATTAACATTGCGTGTAACGTGCTCGTAAATAAGCGCCGCAAGAACTCCGGTAACGGCAAGTACATCCCTTCTATACAATATAACGTCTTAAGAGAATCGTTAATATTAAAAAAAAAAAAAAGAGCTTTAAAGTTGATTGTATCATAAAAAATTATATTATCCAAACAAAAATTCGACTCGAATTTAGTCACAAATATGAGTCATGACGTATAAGAATCTTTGAGACGTTACAAGTATTAAAATTACGACATTTTTATATCTTAAGATTATAGAATCTTAAAATTAGAAAGAATTTTAATTTTTTGAAAAACTTTGTAAATTTTGAAGAAGATTATAGAGATATGGTATACAGATAAGTGTACGTTATCAAATCTCACAGCTGCGCATACAAGAAAAATACTTTGCTTAAATCTTTTGGAATTTCTTGTTATTTCAGTATTTCGTACTTGAAAATAGTTTAAAAGAGCAAACAAATTGAATCTTTTACTATGTTTACTATGTACAAGCACATCATCCCGTCTGCAATCCCTAAGAGACGTCATCGACGTAAAACATCGGCAGGCGTGCATCTGTCGCGTCGCGAGACATGCTCGAGTCGCTCATAAATATTTATTGATCGATTGTATTCGAGGTAATTGAACGCGATGCCGGAATTGCGTTCGCGCGTGTCGCGTGAAATGCATCGGCGTGGCGCAGCCACGAGTGAATTGTGCAACCCGCCGTCGACGTGATTCGTCCGGTTATGAAATAATGCAGAACGCCTCTTGATTAAGCAACGCTTTAATGCACTTTGCATCGCGTCGCGTAATTTCGCGTGAAAATGAGCCGCAATTATTCACCGACTTTCGTATCTCCTCACGGTTAAAACGTGATAAATAAGCAAGTGCATACGTGACGATCCAATCTGCATATTTATAATTTCACCTGTAAATACATCTTTATATTTAATTTAATTTAATTTTAGCTGGCGAATTTAGAGAAAACAATTTTGAAATAAAATTAAGTTAAAACGTGCAAGCGAGAGATATTCAGCGTACATAAATTGAATTAAAGATACATGTTCTCATTTTAAATTTTATGTGTATCTATATAAATATATCATATATGTTGTAATATTAATTAATTCACAAGAAAATATATATGAATAGAATTATATTTTTCTTAATGAAACAAGCTCAATAACCTAAATATATTTATAAGCAACAACTTTTCGTGTACTTTTTAAGGTTTTGGAGAAGACCCAATTTTAATAAATTAAGTGAGTATAATTAATAAATCTTAAATATTATAATAATCTCGCTAAACTAAAAGTTTCGTACGATTCTGCCGGCGTTTCCTACCGTTCTTGAATTTTTTGAGCGCTGTAGGAAATGCCGATAGAAAAATGTACAGGTAGACTGTAATTTTCGACTGGCGGTCTCCTTAACGACGCGACAGTTAACAGAACGATAAGACGAAACGAGCGTGCTGTCCATTCGGAATCGATTCAAGTGGGCGAGAACCGCGCGCTTTAACACCTACGCGATCCCGCCGGATAAGCAACGATCCCGACGACGAAGTTATGTTTCTTCGTGTTTGTGGCGCAGATAACGATCCCCCAGCTATTCGCCTGCTTTTATGTACAGAGCAGGTATTGTCGACTAATAATGCTTCCCGATTAGAAGACCACGAATTCCGCATAAACGGCTTTCCGTGAGAGCAATGAATACGCAGGTAGGTATCTGAAATAACTTAACCTTAAATTCCAGTGTTATAACTCACGCGTATGGTGAATTGCAAAAATATTACCTATAACATGTGGAATATTGTTGTGTTTGATATATGCAATACGGAATCGCAAAGCGGTATTTTTAATATTTTCAGAAAAGAGTTATAAGTACTGAAATCAGATATGTTATGTATAATTTTTTCTTATTATTAGAGTCCGACCGAAACTTTTACCGAAACTAAAAATGAATCACTCATTACGTGTCAGTTTCGACTAAAACTATACACTATAGTTCTTCTTCATATTAATTTTAATTGTATAATTGTATTTTAATATGTATAATTATTGTTTTAATAATTAATTATGATAAATTATTTATGAAGTAGTAGTTATATTGTTTGGCCAAAATTGATACACAACCGAAATTTCAGTTTTCGATTTCGGCCGAAATTTAACTATTGTTTCAATAAATTATAATATTTATAAAGATTATGGACATGTTTATACATATGGCCTTTATAGGATTCCTATTTTTTTATTTTGGTTTCAATTTTGACAAAAGTTTCAGTCGGAACTCTACTTTTTATATATTGTTGTGCATTTTTGTAATAATTTTCGTACAAATTAATGCAATTCGTAATAGTCAACAATGTATTTTGGGTCTTATTTAATTCAAGTTCTTACTACAGTATTTACATTGCTTGCAAAAGAGATTCTTTAATCTCTCTCCACTTTTCTAATAAACACCAGTCTGGGAAGCGGAACTACGAACGTAGACCAGCGTATCCCAGGACGTATCTTTCCTTCGTGCGACAATGCATGTTTCCATGAAAGCGACATCAACCAACCCGACGCCGCGGGACGTCGCATTATTACCTTACCACTGACAATGAGTTACAATGTTATTACTCGTAGTTTTACAATGGTAGAGTTCCTACCGGGTTCACCCAAGGATAAGAAGAAGAAAAGAGAAAGAGAGAGAGAGAGAGAGAAATACTACAACCAGCAATTTATAGTTGATACAACGAATGACAGTCATCTCGAATGGAGGAGAGTAAAGTCAAGGCAATAAACTGAAATATCGTTGTAACACTTAGATTCGCACGTTACGATCAGTGTACATGGGAAAGATCGAATCGACGAATGTATTGCCTGCAAACAAACGAGATAAAAACAAAAAATCGTTGTTATTTATTAATTGCGGCGCCACTACGGTCTGCTGGTTATGCGCATGTACTGCTAATAATATTATTAATCTTGTCGTTTAAGTTAACATAGATTTCATCTCGCGAACGTGTAGCGCATTCTTTGTAAAAAAAACAGTCATAAAAAACACTCTGTGAAGCGACCCGCATTTCATCTCCTTTTTTTCTCCACATTAACCGTTAACCGTTATTCTTGGAAAAATAAGAAAAGTTACTCGACCTTCCGACGTCAATCCTAACCGTTCTGAGACATTCGAGCGCGTATTGACGTCCATGCTGCTTGTTTGCGCACATGTGTTGAAAAATTAAGATAAGCCCGCTAAAATGGAATTTCAATGTCGATTTGAATTTTCGTCATTCAGACGAAGACCGATTGCCGTGCGTCTGCATACCGCGGCTGTAACGACTTGTAGAAACATTTTTAGAAATTTCCAACGGCGAATTGATGTAACGCGGAGGATGAAAAAACGTATTAATTGAGAAGTATAATGCATTCGATTCGTAAATATTAATAATCAAGATTAACATTTACTAGCATTAATTAAAAATGTCATACGATCCATTTAAGTAAACTTTTCCACTGTTTACTTTTAAAGAAGCGTCATCTAAACTAGATTAAACTTAGCTGAACAGTGAAATAAATCTACACATTCATTTCTCTGATACAATTTGATATATAAATAATGAAATTGAACAGTGAATGAAGAATCAGAATATAACGTACGGTAATGAGAAAGCAAGAAAGAATGCCAGCCAATCGCATCCGGTCCCAAATGGCAAATCGTTACATTTGGTCTTTCGTTCCTCTTCTCCCTCATCGTTCTGCCGAACTCTCAGACTCTCAGCTTCTTTGCCGGGGGCAAAGAGGGCGCGCGCTTAATTATCAATTATCTACCGGCCCTCCCACGAAAAGCAATTGCAATTACGAGCCGGTCACGAGGCCAGGGGAACCAGTCAGCCCCCTTTTCTTCCTCCCTCGCTCATTCCTGCCCTACCCGGCGCATGAAGATTTATTTCGTACGTGCACGCGGATGAAGAACAATGCGAGAATTGGGGAAGTGTGTCACCAGGCTGCTGGCACTCTTCATATTCGCGAGGCGGAACACACTTGGGCGCCACGCGGTGCGCAGCATCCCGGAGCGGAGCGGGTCCAAGAGATCAGGCGGTATGATTGATACTTTATTGCGCGCGCGCAGCATTGACCCGCAAAACCATATGTAGATGTTATAAGAAATGAGACGCGCGAAAATGACAACAAAACAAAACGAGATGAGTGAGAGAGGGCGGAAGAGAAAGAAGCGGGAGAGAGAGAGAGGGAGAGGGATGGTGGGAGAAAAAAAATTAATCT